ATCATTACGTTGGCTTTAAGAAGCACCTAACTGGATTGCTTAAGCAGTGTCTAAACTTGTTTATGCGATGTGTGTACGACAACCTTTGGTACCTTATAAAGTGCACAATGCAGGTGGGCCACAATCCTATAAAAGTTAATGTTTTTTTCTATGTACGGTTTTAAGAGGTCAAGGTAAAAATTTGACCAAAAAGAGCCTCTCGACGAGCCTCTTTATTAACAAACTGAGAGCAGGCAACTTTAACAATTGTGTAGCTGCAGTTCTCGGGTCTGATACCGCTGTCTGGGTGAGGACGTCTACTTCAAAGGCTCCTCGCGAATGATGTTGGAAACGATTCCGCACGTCGCACTCGGTAGAGCAATTGGAACACATAATATGCATTACAGCACGAATAAAAAGTGCTTTCAGTCCAATTTCTATGAGGAGGTTTGAGAAAATTCTTATCTTTGAAGACTTTCCATAAGTTGTCGAGGTGTGGCGAACCATTAAAGGCGTGATTACTACCTCTTTTGGTTTGGGTTTAAGAATTTTACTATTGTGAAAAAGTCAAATTTGTAACATCAGAATGACTCTGCTTTAGAAAAGATGTTATTTTTATAAAATGGTTGTTGGCATGCGATGTCAGTCAGGTAGACCTGAGATGTCTTGCGTGATTTTATACGGCATTTAAGAAGCTTTGGCTGAACTAATCCAGTCATCACAAATGCTTTAAGCAAAATGTTTTCCAAACCCTCTTTAAGTGGCGTTGGAAGGGTATTTTTAATTTTGTAAGGACAGTTTAGTCCCTCCCATTGTAGTTTAAAATATTAATTAATTTCTCACAAAACATCCTTTTTTACTTCCGAGATATTCTCTTGATCACTCAGATGGTCGGCGCATTAGTCGCACCGTGCTTATCAACGTTTACTACACCTCCTCCCAATTTTTAGCGTACAACGGTTTGCCTTTGGGTGACCGACTTCTTTAGAACGTCTAAATGCCAAATACAGGGATGGTACATAGACATGATCTTATTAGAACTAGCAGGATTAGACAACTGTCTAATTAGGAAATTGACTTTCCGTCGGTTCAAAGTATGTAAGCACTTGTCGAAATTTTAAGATTTTTTTGCTCTATTAAGCATTGAAGGCGTTGATGAGAACCACTTGGATCGCTCCGCCAGCTAATAAACAGCTATGCAATCGTTAAGAGCAGTAAATGACTTGGAGAAACGGTTTCTAGGAGCTGTCGCCCAAGTTGATGTCAGAGAAGTTAGATTTAACAGCTATCTTTAAACCAATGCCATGGTGAATAATGATTGAGGTGGGAAAGCTTTAGGTAAGATGAGTGAGTCTGCCCAATGCACAGATGAGTGGGTATGGCGGCAGAGAAGCTATCAACAGTAGTGCCAAAACTGAGCGTAGTGTTTTAGTCCATTTCCAGCTATGCCACGTTTTACATCTACTTCCTCTCCCGTTGACTTCATCCTAAAGTGAGTAGGCTTCAACAAATAAAAGCTGCTCCACATCAATTCCTTACAGTAACGAATGAAATGCCAGTTCTTTGAATTCCGTAGGAAATAAGGAGCGAACGAAAAGCGGAAGAGTAAATGAGTCCTTTCTTCCCCAGGCATAAAACCTCCTATTTGCTATTTTAAAGCCTGATCCCTTCCTCTCCTCCTTGCATACTTTTATTTAGTCCAACTTACTGCCTTTTCTATTTATTGGAAAGTCTCGAAGTACTACACAAATAATCATTGAAACGTCTTAAATGTCAAATTTTGAAAAGTGCTCTCGAATTTGAAACCAACTTTTAGAAGAAAACATTCTCACTCCTATGTCTTTAAGTCAGAAAAACGGGTGTTGTGATGAGGTCCAACTCTTGATATACCCTCGAAATACAACGAAGTCATCTCCAGGTCAACACCCCTCGCTGGTGCAAAAAGGCAAATTGGGTTAGTTTTTCCCAAAACGGCATTCTTGCACCGCCCAAAACGTCACTGTCTTCTCAACTTCCCCCTCCACATCCTTTGCCTCAGCCTCCTTAGAAGGAGGATTATTGAAAGATACTTTATTTGACATAAGAGGAAAAGGTACGCAAAAATGGCATCCAAGATAGGCCAGGGAAGGGTCTTCTCACTCCACTTGCACGGCGTCCGAACAAGATTTGCATCTATTTTACTATATGCTCAACTTAAATAACCAATAGGTGTTACAGTGAAAATCCTATCTACTTAGGAGACACTACAATTTTGTGGACTTACTCTTATGCATGTCTGAAAAGGATCGTTGCGCTTAAGCGGGCAGTGCTAAAGCTTTCGGTGGAACCGTGGCGTTAAGACTGTGAATACCACTGCATTTAGCACGAGCAACTCACACAATCAGGCCAATTAGGGTCAGAGGCTGCTGATGCCAAAACGCAAATTTTATTAGCGTTTTATAGCTATTTATCTTATTGGCGTGTACCTAAAATGTGTCGCCACTACTAGCGCCATGTATCAGAGGTTTTTTACCCTCAATTTAAGGCCTTTCAATTTGGGTGAAATAAGGCGGTGATGCATATGTCACAAGAGCATTAAGTTTTTCTTGCAGCATCAGCTAAAAGTTATTTTTCAATTTTTAGCTTAACAGCAAGAGAAGTTATTGCCAAAGGCTCTAAAGCGAAAGCGAAAAGTGTGCCAGCTAAAGTGCCTTTTGTTGTTTTCTAGACTCCAATTCCTAAGTGTGTACGATTTTTGGAAATTTAATTATCATCAGCATAATAATTTTTCGCCCAAAACACAACCGCTTTAGGTATTTTGCTAATGCTTTTCGCGTCTCTCGGAGACAAAAACTTATGGCTTATGTGACCCTGTCCGATACTACTGAAAAGATATAATTTACACAATGTCCATTTTCTGAATGTTTAACGTTGATTTAGCTGTAAATTACTCTAATCTACTCTGCACGCTGGCGCAAAAAGAGTGACTCCCCACTTACAGTGCCTAAATCCCATTTACTCCGAGCAAGTACATATACGACTCCATTACTAGGAGATCTGCAATCATCCGTAAACAATAGGACCTTTGTTTTTACTCCCCTACCTACATTAGTGCCTTGCAGAACTGAAGTTCTTCCTCATCTCGGGCTATTGTTGGTTTCTTCAAAACCTCTTTAGATAAGCCAATTTGATCTTGTCGTCTTCTTGAACGCCGTCGAAGGCGATAAAATATGTGTTGCAGTGCCTGGCGTTCTCATGTTATTTTCAAAGGTGTATTCATGCCACTTCAGGTCCAAAATTGTTGCCACAATCAACTTACTTCAGAATATTTAAAATACTTTGAGTGTTTCAAGCCAGTTATAGTTTTGTTCGATGGCCATATTTTGTGGATTGTAAAAGGAGAATAAGCATACTCCATGAAAATGCAGTGGACGAATAGGATGCTACAGAGGCACTCAGAGTGAAACAGTTTTCAGCAAATCTAAAACGGTGGATTTGGGATATGTTTAATCGAGATAGTTCCATTAGCATTTTAGCAATATCAACAATCATATCCTTCCCGTGTGGGAATTTTTCCAGTTCGACTGTCTTAGTTGCATACATTGGGAAATTTTAACTGATGGAAGGTGCAAAAAAAGGGGCTTTAATGTACCCCCCTGTAACCTCTTAGAGTTTGCTAATTTGATTAGATAATCAGAACTTGCATTCTCTCTTGTTAATGGTTTCCATTTAATTATTCCCTTCGTAAAAGCGTTGCTAACCTTTCTTACCCACTTATCGCCATTATTTAAACCTCTTCATCAGCTAATGCAGACTAAATGTACTATTTTCTTTTGTATTATTTTATGTTTTCGCATTTCAAACTCATATTCTACGGCTTTTGCTAAATTCTTTGTAAAGTAAGATTGGTCGAATGCCGGCAATACTAAAATGGTAACAAGCACACCTAAAAGTCTACCTTCTCTGTCGCTGTACCAGCAGATGTCACTTTTGGGAAAGAAATGTTTAAAAATTGTGGTATACTGTGGCACTGCTTTGGAAAATTTGTTGTTGAGAACGGGTGATCCTGAAATCCATCAATTCTGGTAGTTGAATAACATTTTAAAAGAGAGACTGGTCTTTGCAAAGGTTAATTGCGGGTATTCTATTACTTGTAACAAAGCTAAAGGCGGTTGAGATGGCAGTACTTCCTCTCCTGCGTCTCGATGTAATTTGGTGAGGGATTGTGCTACATAGGCTAGTGCAAAATGCGACTAAAATCTCGCTAATGTACGCAACAGGTTTCTTAGACGTTGGTCCGCCAAAGACACATTGTGATGAGCGCGAAATGTCGCATTAAATCAGACCGGCTATTGGTGTTATGACGAAGCAATTGACTGAAAGTAGAGGAAAAAATTGAAGCAGGATTCAAAGAGCCCTTCATTTTGGTCTAAATCAGTGCTGAAGCTTCCTCACACTGTATAATGTCACTACTGACTATCTATTAGCAGCAAATTGCGTCTCCAAAATGAGTGAGTAACCGAATTCACCCATTGGTGCTGCTGGCTAACATTATCTCCCACTTTACAGGTTGCATATTCACCCAATTAGGATTTATGATCGCAAGGTATTGACATACGTTCCTACCTCAGCAAATACCTTGGTTTCAGCTTATGCCGGGCTTAGTAGCCATTGATGCCTGCTTTAGTTTCCACGTTTTGCTTCTTTGTATTGTTACAATAAAATTGTTTGCCCCATTGCTACGCAGTGAGGAGTGCTTGGGAAATTGTCTCACCAAACGCTTCCATTTTATTCTTACAATTAAGAAAATACCCCAGATGATAAGCTATTCAAGCAACCCTAAATCCTCATTATGTCCATCCAAATGTTCAACAAGATGATAATTTCTTAAAAAAATATTAAAACCGCTTTTTATTTAACTATTATTTATATGTACAAAAGTAAAGGGGTGAGGTGCGTGAATGAATGAGGGTAGGAGTGACAATTTCGGTCTGAGGTGCGTAAAACGCGGAGCTAAAAAAACATTTACATAAGACATCAAATCATACACTGCTCCCACCGTGCTCCTTCTCATTGATGTGGTTAAAGAAGTCCACTGAGTCTTGGCAACGAACATTGCATCGTTTACAACGAAAGGGATCTTTGGGATCATGGAATTGCTTGTGCAGTTCAAAGAGGGTTTCGTTCTTAAATATAATTTCACAAAAGCTACATTCATATTTTGCGGAAGCAGAAGTATGAACATTTTCCGCCTGCACCCTAGCTTCCGGTTTGGGGGCTGAGAGATCCAGTACATCATCCTCTGTCACAAACAGTGGTGGTGCAGTGGGTCTAACTGGCAAGTTGAGAAGTGCTGGAAAGGATGATGATGATGATAATGAAGTCTGCGGGAAGGCTTGCTGCTGCATGGAGAGCACGAAAGCAGTCATCAAAGCAAGGTTTTCCTGCGACTTGCCAGAAGGTACCTCAGGTTGGGGGTTGAGTGGAGGGGGAAGAAAGAAGGGTAGAACTGGCGTAGAAGGAAGAGGAGAAGGTTGACTGATTGATGGAGCTACTCGGTCTGGTTTAAGCGCCAGAGCGTTTGCCCTTTCTGGCAGACTTCCATCCACGTTTAGAACCACAGCTTGTGTGTGTTTGTGCTTGGTGAGATGCATCTTCAGACTGTGGCAGTACTTTGTTGCGTAGTTGCAGTCAGCGCAGCGGTACTGATACACGTTTGTATGCGATTTCATGTGGCTGTTTAGCATAGACTTGTTGACACACTCGTAGTTACACTTGGAGCATTTGTAGGGCTTCGAACCCAGGTGATTGCGAATGTGATATTCAAGATGGTGTCGGTATTCTGTGACGAATGGACACTGTGTGCATTGCAACTGTCGGTCCACCTTTATGTGAGTTCGCTGGTGCTGCCAATAGTCTGTCTGTAAATCGAACAATGAAACGATCCTCATTGAACGGCATCATTGGTGTAGGTTAAATCAATGCAAATATTTTTTTAAATTACACTTGGCATTTCTGCAAACATATTGGATGGATTTATCAAAAACATTTATGTGTGATATTTTGGATTTAAATAGGCAAGAGTGACGATGTTACGAAATTTATCGCAAGGTGTTCTATAAAAAATATTTCATACAAGTAACTTGTGTTCTTATTGGTGGATAACAAGTGGTGCTTATACTTCGTTTACTAACCTACCTACGTGGTTTAGTGACAGTAAATACGAATGATTGATTTGACTTCCATCACGATTCCTCACCGATTCACCAAGTATCTTCACTGATACCTCACACGTTGATAATTTTGGATCTTATTCGAACACGTGGGTATGAATAGGCTTTACAGTTTTCGGAGGGTACAACTTTTGATACTACTGGGCTAAGATTCGGTTGGTGCTCCAAGAAGGATGAACGGTGACTAGTATTTATTTCCATTAGTGAAGCTTCACCATTTATTGGCTTGACATCACATCAAAGTAAGTTCTTGTTAAAAGTCATTCTAGTGATAACTTGGTCCTACCTGACCGAATGACTAATTCCATGGGCAAAATTAACGGCACCTGCCCCCGTTACGTAAACTAACCTCGGTGCCTGACACAAACCATCTCTTCCTCTCTTTCTCCCCTTTATCCAGTGCATCCACTCGCTCCACTCTCCCCATGTCGCCTAGTTGCCAGGAGAACCTTAATCCACTCTATCCCCAATATTATAAGTTGAAAACCCTGGGAAGCTATGTCAATAAGTAAAAATAAACAGCTGGTCATCGTATTAATCGTAATTC